ATGGCTGGAGGTTTGGCGGAGACGGACAGTGCAAACGCATACCTAATATTAAAAGTATATATTTTTATTGTACTTTAAATAATATTTATTATGAATTATATCAATATTAGCCATCAGCCCAGTCCACAAAAATTTTTACCCATCCCTTCCCACCCCCTATTGTACGCTGTTTTTTATTTTTCCTTTCATTACATTGTTTTATAATAATGATTATTTATTTGGAAGCAATATATGCAATTATTATAACGTATACTTTATTAGCTATAGACTTACAACTTTTTCTAATTTTTATTAAAGCTAATTCATTTAATTATATTTTATATAAGAATATGAGTGATAAATGGATTCTATAATTAATAATGATAACTATGCTGATTGAGACAGCAAAAGTACCCAATGACAGTCTCTTCATGTTAAAGTATAGATATGATAAACATAGAATCCCATGTTAAATACCATATGGTAGAGGAGTTGGACATGTAGCTTGGCGATCCTATAAACAACATTCCTTATTGATGAATTGTGGTTTAAAATATATAAATCACATACAGTAGGTTATGTTTGGCAAAGAAAACTCCCTAGAATATAATAATGCTCACGCATTTATGTAAATATATAATTTTCATGTTTGAATTAAGCCAAATTAATCATTTAATTTTTAAAATTTAAAATGAAATACAGCGAGATATAAATATAAAAAAGATAGATATTTTACATAAACAGATAATTAAATAAATGTTTTTTTCAATATAAAATTATTTACTTAATTTAGATTTAGAATTACAAACCATAAAAGCTGTGGTCAAGAAATGGGAGACTTTTGAAATAAATGGTGTGATATATGTTTGGCATCACTCGGAAGGCATACTTCCCGACCACAAACCCCACGACTTTATTGAAAAATATGGCCACAAATTATCGCTCATTCATTCGTTTAAAATGTCTATTCCAACGTGGTTTGAGGTTAGATGTAATAATATTAGACCATTTGATATAGTCATGGCCTACTATCATTTAGCTAACCTTACTTTCAAAACTATTTTATAATCTATTTTGTGTAGATATAATTATAAAGTTTGTTTGATTATATCTCGTTTACTTTCGAAGTTATTTATCTAGTTTTTCAAAAATCTGCTACTCCAACTTTATTTATACTATTAGTATTTCCCACACATAATGTACTAGATTAAATCTGTAAAAATAGAGTTTCATATGTTTTGATTTTGTTTATAATTTAAAAGTTCCGCCAGTTTATAATTTCACATATTTTAAACATGTTTAGAGTTATTATAATGAACGAGACTATATGATAAAATTGATAAACTATGAGGACCAACAAACAATAATAATAATCTTTGTTGGACCACTGGGATGGAAACATTAAGGTTGTAATTTGATATATTGACACATACGGCAATGGAAAAGCGTAAATTATGTCTAGTAAATTACAATTAACTCTTGATGAAGTGTTGATTCCCGTGTTAGAGTATAGTCATAGAGTTAGGCTGTAATCCCATGTTAAGTGCCATAGAGCATACATCACGTGTTTCGCTAGAGTTTCTATAACACACGGGCTTTTGGTTTACATAGTCACAGGAATTAGGGTTAACAACTTATATTGACAACTTATATTGTATGCAGAATATAAATCAAATACAGTCTGCACCGCATTTAACAGAAGCACTCGGTGAGTTTAATTCTGTTCTGTTATAGCCGGTTTTCTGTTATTCCCGGTAATAGACTTAGACTTAGGAGCTGTCGGTGCAGCAAAAATATTCGGTTATATGCGGTTTTCCGTTATATGTGGGACCGATAAATGCGGTGCAGACTGTAATTTACAAATAATTGAGATCTATAATGTACAGATTTTACAAGAAAATGGCCAGGATCTAGAGCACACAAAATATGTACATGGTGTTCTCGTGCCGAAATTAGCACAGTTATTGACCACGTTTGAAAATATACCGGACACCGATGACAAGGATAGCATTGGGCCAATTATTTATGGCAATATTACGGTTAAAGTGTTGGGTTATGCAGTAGTGACCGTTCCGTTAACAGTTATAACATTGTCTCCGGTGGTGGGGCTTTTGTGCATCGGGTCGTACACAATAATGGGCTCGACTCTACCCACTGGTCGCTACAGGACCCGTCTTTTAGGAGTTATATTTAATAAAGCAACCATGTTGAATAGATTCGCCGCTTATATTATCAAATGGTTTGCTGTAGCTCAGGTTTGTTCAATGTGTGTTTAAAACCTATTGACAATAGGCTATTGTTTAGTCCAGCATTAAATATATCAAAGAATAGATAATGTAACAAGGTACAATTTTGTGACACTTACAAGTTTAAAAATTTTCAATTTACGATTATAATTAAGCTATATATAATTGTAGTTTATACAAATAATTGTAGTTCATTAAAGTGTCCAGGACAAAGTAGCCAATATTTTGACACCATTAAATATGTGTTTATTTCGCTGTTTTATAATCAGTTTAGTTATTATTACATCAAATTTATTATTACATACGTTTTGCTGCAAAATATGTCTATTTTGGTACTTTATTCTTAAATAACTAACATGCTAATGTAACGGTTACTTATGTTGCAAACAAAATGCATACTTTGTTCACAATTGTTTTTATTCAACAGGTTTTAAAAGACGTGTTGGGTACCGGAGTTCCCAATACTTACATCCAATGATAAGGCCATTGCGCGTCACCGACGCTATTGTAAAAAGTTTTACTCGAAATGAATTATTTTTTATTTCAAATATGTTTTAAATAAATGATAAATTTTAAGATATAATTATAAACATCAAAGCAGTGCAATATCGGTGCATTAGACACAGAAATACTTAATTTAACATACAAGTAATTTTTAAATCAATGTTAATTAATAAGGCTAGAAATTATATTTTTTATGTATAAGGGGTTTCAAAATCTTTTGGCCGTCGGAATTTGGCGATTACTCGGGAACGGCTAAAGTGACACTAGTGTGACTTTACACATATATAAAACCATATCGGGAAAATTTTATAGCATAAATATTTTTCAGTCACGTGATTATTTTTTTTGAAAAATGGGTAACTTCCGGAACCCATACTTATTTGCTATTGTGATAATAGAAGGGAGGGGTGGGAATTAGGGGTAGATAAAGGAGATATCACAGTGTTGCACAAACTTAGAACTATCATGATAACATTGCAGGTTTTTATGCAATAAGTGAACAAACATGACCTATTTTTGCATGTTAACCTATGGGAGGGTAAAATAAAATTAGATTTAAATACATTGAATTATATTCTTAGATACTACAATGAATGCTGATTATGTTAGTACAAAAAAGTTTTGAAAAAGATTAATCTAAACACAAAATATCGTTAATTGAAATATTGAGTTTTTTGGGTTTTCATGACTAATACTTTTTATTTCGATTTAGGTTATTTTAGCTCTGGAATGAAATTTTTCAAAAAATTTTTGTACTAACATTATCAGCATTTAATGTAGTTTTTACAAATATAATTAATTATATATAAACACAATATTATTTTACTTTCCCATAGGTTAACATGCAAAAATAGGTCATGTTTGTTCAATTATTGCATAAAAACCTGCTAAGCTATCATGATGGTTCTAAGTTTGTGCAACACTGTGACATCTCCTTTATCTACCCCTAACCCCCACCCCTCCCTTCTATTACCACAATAGCAAATAAGTATGGGTTTCGGAAATTACCCATATTTCAGAAAAAATAATCATGTGACTGAAAAAATATTTGTGCTATAAAATTTTCCCGATATGGCTCAATATATGTGTGAAGTCACACTATTGTCACTTCAGCCGTTCCCGAGTAATCGCCAAATTCCGACGGCCAAAAGATTTTGAAACCCCTTATA